TCTTCTTATATATATATATATATATATATATATATATATAAAGAGCCACTCTTCCATCTAACATCGCTTTTACGACCTCTCAACAGCCTTTTATAAAGATTCTTAATATTGCCGACCCCATGTCGCGTCTCAGCCGGCCCGTCATTATTCGCGCGATAACGAGCCGACGACGGATGAGCTTTTCTCCTTCTCCTTTCCTCTCCTCTCGATCAGCATAATTATGATTTATCTGGTTGTAGGCCGCGCGAGGAGTCGACGGCGTTCACCATCACGAGATCCACGCCGGACCACTCGTCCATCTCGCCGGAGAAATCGTCGTCGTATAACGGCGCAAATGCCACGCCGTCGACGACGGTGACGCCGACGGCGGTCTCGACGACAACGACGACCACTACCACGACGACGTTGACGAATCCGACCAGCACGAGCCAGCAGCTGCAGGTGGTGAAATGTACGAAACGCTCGCGCGAGACAATCGAGTCGAAACGCGAGCGTAAAGCGGCCAAGACCCTGGTGATCATCACCGGCGCCTTCGTCGCCTGCTGGCTGCCGTTCTTCTTCGCCGCGCTGCTGCAAGCCACATGCCAGACCTGCAAGCCACCCGAGATTGTGTCCAGTGTGTTTCTGTGGCTCGGATACCTCAATAGCACCCTCAACCCCGCGATTTATACTGTGTTCTCGCCGGAATTTCGGCAGGCATTCAGAAGGATGTGCGGTGGTACGCGGAGACTTCGCTGACAGTGGATTTAATTCCTTTGCTCCGTGCACGCGGTCAGATGAAGAAGATACGTGAAACTACTCTTTATATATATATATATATATATATAAAGCGTGCACACGTTCGCTGTAACTATCGTTTTCCTTGGTGTTGTGTAATCTCGGGATGCCCACCTTTAAATATTATTCTATGAAATGGTTACACTCGTATAATTATCTACGTATTTTTTATGAGAGAAAAATCGTTGATCATATTTAGCTTTGAAAATTTTTTCAAATAACTCAGAAATTTGAGGATATCTCATTTTCAGGTACAATTATTATCTTGTCTTATTAATATATTTTTTAAATTTTCACTAGTGATATCCTTATTAATTACTTAAAATATATTCTTTAAATCGTCAATTCTTTGATCAAAATCGATTTTTTAAGCATCTAAACACACAACACTGCTTCTTCCTTTTACAATTTTTCCGGATGATAAAACTCTGCGCAGTTACTCTTATAGATACTGTTAAGATGAGTATTACTCGTAAACCAAAATAACTAAAATTCCACTCGCATTAATTATATTTAACATTAATCGTCGATAAACGATTCTACGTAGACTATTTTTGCGATACGCTTCCCATCGGAGAATCAAACGAACGACAATGGTGCAACATTACTCGCGATTTTAAAATGTATAAACAAGCGAAAATATTTTATTGCAGGGGCAGGTACTCCTATAAATAATTTATGAATTTAAGTCTTTAAAATCAAAGTCAGAGCATATCCTAACTTATAAATTGGACGACATATATGAGAACTTTTATTGCTCCAAGAATATAAATTTAAGCTAAAGTTATACATTTTTTTATTGTAAGTATCGATATAAAAATAAATGAACGAAAAATATGAAATATTGAGGTAATATGTATAAAAATGCTTATGCTATATATGAGAAATCCATTTATTTGGATGAAACAAAATTTGGTTGAATAAATTAAATTTCATGTTTGGATATCAGCGGGCAAATTCGTAATGCAATAAATAGATTTAATTAGAAAATTTGATGATGCTAAATTTGATTCAACGAACAAAAATGAACAAATATGAAAACTTTTTCTTCTTCCTCTTTTATAAAAGAAGAAGATGCCTCCTCTTCTTCCATATATAGGCTTAAAGCTTGTTTTTTACCTCTCTCTTCATATATCTGTAGTGCACACACAAGAATATGCACAAGAATATGGGACTTACAGTTTAATTTAATTAAATATGAAAACTAAAAACTAAAATTTTTAGTTGCTTTTTATTCAAATTTTGTTTACTAAATGTAAACTATGTTAATGTATCAAATTTTCTAATTAAATTTTTTATTGCATTATCCAACAGATTTGATTGCTCTTATCTAAATAAGAAGTTCTTGATTTAATAAAAGGCTTGTTTTTAAATCAGCATGAAATTTTTGTAGCCATAGAATGAATTGTATAAAATAGCTATTTATTGCCAATCTGTAAAAGATATTTAGCATCAACTCTAAACTCTAAAACATATCGATAACCAAACCTATTGAGACAGATTTTGAAGTGTATATTAAGTGTTTATTAATTTTTAGCAGAAAGGCAATAAATTTCAAAACCAAATCTGTAATATCTGATATCAATGTCGACAAATTACTGCCAGAAATATGACAAGCCTGCTAACATGTTATACCAAGAGATTAGTGGTAGAAACCAAGCAGAGCCTGACGTAACATAATGACAAGTTGACGGCAGAAATCGAGCAGGATCTGTGTGTACAGGTCCACAAATCCTGCTCGATTTCTGCCGCCGATTTCTGTTGCTTGCATATGTTCTTTCAGCAGAATCTAAATACAGACGCAGTTGATGTCAGTTTGCTGACATGTTCTGAGCGAATCTGCTGGCAGTTTGCGGACATATTGCTAACATTTTGCTTACTAGATATATAAGCGTCAATCTCAGAATATGTGGCAAGAAGGTTAACTAAAATATATATTAAAATATATTGTATTGTAAAGTTAAATTAATCTAATAATTCTTCAATAGAAAACAATGAATGATGCAACTTATAAAAAATTAAAAGTTAAAGAAATATTTTAAGAAAATATTTAAAAAAAAAGTAACAGAATCCTTCGTAACAAATTCCTGAGCTGATAGCTTAGAGAAAGCGTTTTTGGTTACAACTGCGTTGGCTTGTGCCTGAGCAGAAGCTTTTCTCTTGTTTTGAATTTTATCAACTTTTTAATTTGATGTTTTTTCAAGTTTGCTGAATTTTTTTAGCAACGGGACATCTTCGATAGCTTGCTACAGGTCCCTCTTGCTACAGTTCACATACTTTGTTGTGGTATTTTTGTCCTTGAAACATTTGTTTGACATGTGTTTTCCTGCACACTTAACACAGACTTCTTCCTTGTAGCAGTAATTTTAAGTATGACCAAAACCCTGACATTCCTTGCATTGTTTGAAAACTTCCGGCTTATTACGCAGTTCTTCTATTTTTACTCTAATATGTAGGATGTGTTTTAGAACATGCACCCACAGAAAAAGATTTCTGGATTTAATGCTATTACTCTTCGAACTAGCATAAAATAAGATCGATATAGGACCAATCATATTTATTATAAAGAACAGAATATTTTAGTCTTAATTGGAATATCTTAAATCTAAAATAAAATGATCTTGATGCTACAATAAATAGTAGCATATACCAAATACTGGCTAGTATCGAAGTATTATAGTATTATATCGGGCGATGATTTATTCTATAACGCAAGAATAAACAAGCTTAAATTTGTATGTTATTCTTAATTCAAGACAAAATCAATCATATTTAATTCGAGGCAGAAGAATAGACATTATTAATTTAATTTTAAAATACTTTTAATTTTATATTGCATGGGATAACGATAAGATTAAATGCATCAAGAATAGTTTTCGTCTCATTACTAGAAATCCTTTTTGAGAGGGTGATTCAGAAAACTTTCTAGCAAGAGATACAAGTCGACACAGAGTCATTTTATCTTTCTTCAATGTTCTTTAATATTTATGGACACTCTTGACATTCCTGCTCTTATTACACCTGACAACGATCCATTCCCTGAGCAAGGCCCACATTCTGTCTATCAGGAAGCTTGATAATCTCTTCGATAAATCTGATTCCTCCACATGCACACCGATGGTGTTTAGATAGCTCATCGAATAGTAATTTTTTCATTCCCATCTTATCTACACCCAATTTTCTGTCAGGATAACTCTCTAAAAAATAAGAGTCAATCTGATTATATTCTTAATTATCTGGACTTTAGAAACTGGACTTTGGACCAAAAGTGATTAACCGACAGATTAGAAGAGTATTGTGCTTCGGCTTAGCAGGCTTCTATGTGCTGATTGCAACACATTTTCCTCTTGGTTCCTGATTCCGAGACAGAAGCTGGATTTTGGGTATTTTTTAGCCTCTTCTCTCTATAATTGTTTTTTATAATGGCGTTTGGCAACGCTATAATAAGCTCGGTTTCGGTGGATTTAAGATAAGATGAATCTGTTTTTTATAGCTGAACTAGTGTATACTTTTTATACTTAAAATAAAATCAATACATATTTGAAATTTAAATTTATGATAAAAGCGAGAAAGAAAATTTTAGTGCGATCCAATAAAATCAAGCCTGGTCCAATTTGATCTCGCAGTTGTGCGATGTTACCTGGGTAAAATTGTAAATAATTGGAGTTTGACTTAATTTTAAATTTATTTAAGAATTTAAGAAGATTTTAAAATACTCAAAATGCAAATACAAAAGATGTAGTTTTCATTAAATTCATAAACAGACGGCAAATATTTAAAATCTGTGATTGGTTCATGATAAAATATTTTTAAAACTATTCTTAAGACGAATTTTAAAAATATCTTATGTAACAACAGATTATCGATGAATGTCGATTGAAACATTGAACATTGAATATATCAAAATTATGTCATAAATAAATTCAAAATATAAAAGTAACGATGAAAGTAACTGTTAAATTCGTTATTGTTACTGAGAAAATATGACTACATTACCGTTACAGTTACTAAAATAAAAGTAACGCCGTTATCACTCCGTTATAAAAAAAAAAGTAACTGTAACAATAACGGCGTTACAAGTAACGCATTACTTCCCAACCTTTGAATTTACACTCATAAACCCCATTATTTATTGAACTTAATTTTTTATTAAATACAAATATATTACAGATTTATTTAACAAAATGGCTCAATCAAAATTTTGTTTTATTCAATTAAAGGGGTCTCTCTCAGTAAAACTCATAATTTGTAATATTTTATTGAAACATGGGAAAGATAAATAAGAGTATGAATGTTTAAAATGTTGATTTATCCGGTAGCATTTATTAGCTATTCATATCATGTAGATGTAATTGAAGTGAACGTGATACATCTCGCATTCTGTCGTTCAGTGAAGCTTTCCTTAGGATATGCTCTGACAATGAAAAAAGAAAATCGCGAGGAATGCTCTTGCTCTGAATTATAATTGTACAGTATTCCGTATAAGCGCGCGATAGTGCTTAGCGATCATACTTCCGAGCATTTTATTGTTAAAATAACTATGTATAAAAGTTTTCAATCTAGGCTTGTCTTCAAAGTACGTATGTAACGACAAGTCCAAGTGTACATTAATTAAAATGCGACAAGGTGGATAGATTATTAAGCATGGTGGCAGGATGGATTCCCGCGGATTCTGTCACACTTGTGTATAACAACTCCCACGTTTGAATAAAAACCTCAACCTCAAGCTGGACACGTGCTAGGTACGTCTTACGCTTTTCAACTACTCGGTTCGAAGTTAGAAGTACTCTTGGGAAATTTCTCAAGCGCAAAAGATTCTCGCCGCCTTACGAAGATTTGCTTACGCAATTTTTCTCGTACAGAGTTTTTTAATAAAGAAGCTAAATAAGAGGTGTCCAACACAAGCAACAGAATTGAATAGAAAGGTGGCAGTGTTTCTTTTAACAATATCACAGATTTATTTTTACGAACGATATATGCAAGTATTTAATGTAAAATAGATAATAATGATAAATGAGACGATTGATATAATAAATAAAAGAATATGAGGAAGAAGAACATGAGATCGTGATAAAATATCGATCTAAGCGCATATCACGGATACAATGTGTTAATTATAATCAGAAAATATATTATCTCTAAAAACAAAATTACACAATACTTGAAAATGTAACTTTAGCCTTACCATTCAATTCTGCGTCTTATATAGTCCAACGTAAGCCTTTGAATTTATGTAGTGATAGTGTAACATCCAATACTATAATATTACTACATATTATGATGTTTAATTTACAGAGCAACGACTGATCGAGATCTGTATTCGCATACTAAATGAAATAGGAATTGAAAAACTGGCACCTTTTGTTCATAACATCTACTTCAAAATGATACAAATATATGTGCATTTATTTCATTTTCACGTCCACTTACGAGCCAATTAGGCGCTCGCTACTTAGAAATAAACATAGTTCTAGACTCTAATCATAATAATGTACTAGGCAGATTGTGATAAACGGCGACAATAGCTTTTTCTTCGTCAGAAATGATAAGACTTTCCGTCTAATTTCTATACACAGATAATATAAAATAAACTTCTTTTTGCTTAGGGAAGTTATGTAATATAAGAGATAAATTCTTAAATTTATTTTTTATTTGTATTTATAATTTTCTTTAACAATAAGTATATGAAAGACCGACAAACAAGCAAAGATAAGTATCGTTTAAAAATAATAAAATATTTGATTATCGAATTATAAAATCACGTTGAAAGTCTGCTAATCTAGTAACACGTAGTTAATGATATGATTATTTGAATTTATTCATACAAAAAGATTTTAGCAACCAAGAGCCTGCTTGCTAAGGATCGGTTATTTGCTGTTGTTTGTTAACATGTACTGGCTGGTATTAATGTATAACAAAATATTTATTGATGACATGTATCGAAAGTACAAGATAAAAATAACATAAATAAGATTTAAAATTGAACGTTTCGGCTTCACAAAGCCTTTATCAGCAAAGAAAATAATATAAAAAATATAAAAATTAATAAAAAATAATACATAAGACTCTGTGCAGTCGAAACGTTCAATTTAAAATCTTATCTATGTTATTTTTATCTCGTACTTTCGATATATGTCATCAATAAATATTTTGATTATTATTTTTAAATGATACTTATTTTTGCTCGTTTGTCGGCCTTTTTATATTATTGTTTAGTTTGTTATATTATTGTTTTATATGAGCTGTTTTGTTTTTATTTTTCGTGTTATAACTTTCTTTCATTAATTGTTATCATATGTTAAATAACATTTATGTAACGTAAACATGGATATTAATGTAAAATTAAAATAAGAAAAAAGTTAATAAATATTAATTGTTTATCAAGATATTGTTTAAATCAAAATTGGTAAATAGATTCTTCTCATTTCTGACGACATTGTTGCTGAAATGACGGCAATATCGGATACGCTTGCGCTATCTAATTATGTCACTGGTCGTCGTTTTACTCACACGACATGACTAATAAAGCAAACATTTTCTTCATATTCATTTTTTACGTAAGTCTCCAAACAGAAAAGCAAGGCGTTGTCTGCCGAACATTTGCAGCATTTCTAGGGAGAATAAGAATCGTCAAATAATCAAATAATACATCGGCATCAAATAATATAAAAAAAAAAAAGACGAAAAAAAATATTTTATGAATATTTCTTTTATTAATATTTGAAGGGAAAAATTTTCAAAGGTTACGAAAAAATAAATATTAGTCTGATAAATATTTAATTTTGCAGATCTAAAGATATCAGTCAAAAGGCAGGAAGCCCTGATAACATTAAGGGATCGATAGCGCCACTTGGTATACTGAACAAACAATGTTTGATGTGGTTAACATCGTTAATAATATTCTGTCAAAATGTCATAAAATTGATCGAAAACAATTTGCATTTGTGAAATATGAAATAAGTGCAATAAGCTTTGATGACACACGCACACGCGGCAAAATGTTCAGTGGATAACGAGAGTTGATCATGTAACGCTTATAAATCGATAAACAATGATATCAACGATCATTCAGTAACGCCTTTCCGCAATATATTGCCTCGTACTAGAGAAACGACATTGGTACAGGAAGATATTGGTGAGATTACGACGAGCACGTTTAAACGAGAGCATGTTTCGCGGAAGAGTATCGAGATGTAACAGATGGTAGTCAGCAAGATAAATATTATCCAGCGAATTAAGTCTCTAAGACCACGTAATCATCCAGACGATAACTTGTTGATATAAATGCCAGGTATGTTCACTTGAAGTCTTATGGAAGCATCGAGCAGAGATAAGGGGAAAAAGAAGAAGAGAGGAAACGAAAAAGAGCAATAGAAAAGAAATGAGGGATAAGGAAGCGCGGTTGAAATATGTATTTACAACGATGCTTCATGTGTATATGTCTTTGCAATCATAAGATGAAATAAATTATAGAAAAGTTTGGAGAGATTTGACTGAAATTACTTTTTGTGTATTCGCAATGTCGGTGACTTCAGTGTTTTCAGTTTCCCCCCACGATCCTATTACAAATTGTCGCTAAAAGTAGTTTTATTTCTCACTTTTTTTTCATTCCATTATCCATTATTTGATTTTTATAATTGCCATTTTGTTAGATATTTTTCAATTCCTATAATAAAAGACATCTAAGTATAATGTCAAAAGAATTAGGATTCACATCCATATTTCACATTTCACTCCCAAAGAATTTCCAGAAATGATGTTATATGTCATCCTCTTATTAGATAAATGAGGTTTCACAATCAAACAATCGTACAGTAGTATGTTAAATATAAATAAAATATAAAAATAGAATTTTTTGTTTAGATATCTTATAAAATTTTTATGAAATTTTTTTCAAATTATACTATTTGCAAGATGATATATATTTAAGATTTATCTCTAACATCACTGCATATGATGTACAACGCATTAATAATATGAGTTGATATATCCATTTTCATGATATTTAACTCTTTGTGCAGTATGAATTAATATGCTACGCAATATTAGAAAATTACCTATATTATATAGATAACGTAAAAAATAAGATTAAAACAGCTATAATTATATATAATATATATTTAACAGTATTTTACTTTCTACTCCGTCACACATATCAGAACACGTATTGCAATTAAATTTAAAAAATGCATTCCTTAAAATATTCCTGTGCTTCATTTACTTATCACGTGGCGCTACATTTTCTTATCGCGTAGAATATTACAAATCCGAATGTTACTTTAATGATAGATTCCTTAACGACATAAAAATGATTTCTATTTCGTTCAATTGCATATTATTTAAAAATAAAAATTTACAAACAAATTTATTTAATAGTAACTAAAAAAATCATTCATTTATGAGGTGATTTCTTTAGCTCTTACGCCTACAATTACTGTCTACGCCTATTACTATGGTTATTAATAATACTTAAAAGAATGAATGTGAAACTGAGAGAGTAGACCAGAAATAACAAAACGTTATTATGTGTATATCTATTTTATTTTTGATATTTACAATTTGTTTTTATTTTCTCTTATTTTCTCTATTTTATAAAATATTGAATAGAATAAAAGAAATTTTACTTCATGACGTAAATAATAAGTAATAAACTCATGTGTGTGGTATTTTTTTTATTTATACATTATATAAAAATGTATGTACAAAATTTAAATTGTATTAATATTAATATATTAATATTACAATAATATTAATGTATTAATAATAATATTAATGTATTAATATCACAGTTTTTTAAAAATAGTACAAAATTATGTTTAATTCGTTCCATCTGGTCGTGATCTGCCTGCAACTTTCGGCATCTTTTTATTCGTTGAATCTTCTACTTCCTTAGGCTTATAATAATGAGGTGCCACTTCCAGCAACCATTTACTTTCAATTTCTGTCACCTATAATATATACATGTTTGAATCCTTCATTGATAATCTTTACTAAAATTACAGAATTAAATTTAGAGAAGCCATTTATTCTAAGATATACCTGACGCATAAATTCCTTAGTAGTGAGGACAAGTTCGTGATAAAGAAGCCAGCGTGGAAGATCCTGAAATAAGGAACTATTTGGATGTATTGCGACTTGTTGATTGTGCTTTGCGGTTTTGTAGCAACCTCCCTTCGATAAGCGTGCCACATGATAAAAATAACCAGCTGTAATAGCCTAAACAAAAAATATATTTCCATTATTTTATGAAATTGTCACCTTCCTGTAATATTAACATACCTTTCTAATATTGACTGTTTCTGTAATTCCCGAGACTAATTCCATCTCTACACGCTGCATCAGACCTACCAATTGTTCTCTAACATCCCTTGCTCGCTTCATAGATCTAGAAGACAGACAATAAATATATTTTGTGAGAAATTTGTTAATATTATACGTAACATTAACATACCTATGCTGTATGAAATTTTCGTAACACCAATGTGTACTAAAATCACTTTGTGCCCATTGATTGTACACATTAAGGAGCGTCAAATGATCACCACCAGGTACATGGAAATTTTTGCGTGCAGCATCCGCATGTATAATTTTATCCTTTGGTCTATAAAAGATAGCGCCGTTTACCGAAAGCATGGCCGCTATAGTTGCTACCTCTTCCGAACAGCGATATTTCTCGCTAGCTAACAGCATCTTTGCCATCATAGGGTCCAGCGGAAATTCAGCCATTCTACGTCCGAGTTTTGTCAGCTCTCCGCGATGATTCAGCGCGCCCAATGCGTATAGTTGCTCCATCGCCAAGATCAATGTTTCAGGCGGTGGAGGATCCAAGAAATCAAAATGCATCAAATCATCAATTCCAAGAGCTTTCAAAGTCAATACTGCATTACCTATAAACAACAAAAATATATTGATAAAAAAAATATATTGATAAATTAAATTTAAAGATTTATATGTATAAATTATAAATCTCTAGTAAAATAAGTAGTAGTAATCACCGATTCTTACCCAAATTAATTCTTTGAATTTCAGGTACAGTATTATCTTCAAGTTCATGCTGATAAGCCCAAGCTGTGTATAAACGAAAGCATTTCCCAGGCGCTACTCTTCCCGCGCGTCCTGCTCTCTGATTCGCAGATGCTTTGCTAATTGGTACAACTATTAAACTCTCCATACCAGTGCGAGGATTAAAATTATTCTGCTTCGCATAACCAGGATCTATTACATATACTATATTATCTATAGTCAACGAGGTCTCTGCTATGTTGGTTGCCAATACAACCTTAAAAATAAATAAAAGTTTAATTTTCGTAAACAAGATATTTCAAAACTTATGCAATTTTCCAAAAAAAATATTACTTTTCTCGCGCCAGGTGGAGTTGGTTGAAATATTTTTATCTGCATGTCGCTTGGTAGATTCGCATAGACAGGTAAAATTAAAAGCTCTGCCAATTTGCTACCTAGTCTTCTCACTCTCTCTTGTAACATCTCCTGACACGTCTCGATCTCTTCTTGTCCTGTGCATAAAAATACATCTTATTATGATATATAACATTTTAGACATTTCTAATATCCTTACCGGTGAGAAATACCAATATATCACCCGATGGTTGTGTTACGTGAATTTGAATAATAGAAACTACACACGCTTCAATATAATCTGATTCCGGCGCTTTTGTGTAATAGATATCGACGGGAAAGCGGCGTCCTGGTATTCTAAATATAGGAGCATCATCGAAAAATTCACTGAATTTTGTAGCATCCAATGTAGCTGATGATACTAACAGTTTCAAATCAGGACGAAACCTCGCGATATCTTTCACGAGTCCAAATAAAATATCGGTATGTAAAGTACGTTCGTGCGCCTCATCAATTATCATTACGCTAAAACATACAATAAAACATACAATAAAAAAATTATCATTACAATTTATCGATATGACATATCAAGATTTAATATATTCTACAAATAATATAATTAATTCAATAATTTTAAAATTAGTTCAAAATTATTCGCCATTATTAATTCTTTTTCCTAAGTTTCCTTCTGAATTTTTCTTGATTTTATTAACACGTACCTATATGATGCTAGATCAGGCTCACTAAGAAACTCTCGATGCAGCGTACCATCAGTCATATATTTAATGCGAGTTCGTTGTGATGTACAATCTTCGAAACGAATAGCATAGCCAACTTCATTTCCCAGTTTAACGGCCATTTCGTGGGCTACTCTTGCAGCTACTGACATAGCCGCTACTCGCCGCGGTTGCGTACATCCGATAATCTTGCCATCATCTGCAAATCCAGATTCGTATAGATATTGTGGAATCTGCGTTGTTTTTCCCGATCCCGTTTCACCTTCTATTATCAAAACCTAAGATGCAAATATATGACATTCTTTTAATATTCTATATTATTTGTAACTTGATATTTAAAGTTTGCTTTCTAGTTACCTGGTGTTCTTTAATAGCATGTATTAAATCTTTTTTGAAGGGATAAATAGGCAGACTTTTCTTTGTCTCCTGTATCGTTTGCAGATGTTTAACATGTGGGGGTGGACTTGCTTCACGTTTCTTATCTTTATGTCCAGGCATATGCAGGACTTGAACAAACTCTATCATTTCATCCTCCATAAGAAGATTATATTCTTGTTGAGCTACAATAAAAAATTATAAAATTATTTAAGAGAAACAGATCATATAAATAATTATTTATTTCCAATGATGATTTATCATATACCTTTTCTATCTTTAGCACCAAAACGAAAAACAGCTGATGACATCTGATCTGATTCCCATTTACTTTGTTCGGACTGTGGTGGTTCCTTGTCTGTTATCATATCAGATTCTGATTCCATTTTACCCTTCTCAAGAGGCATATGATAGCGTTGCATACGTTCGAGTTCCCTTGCTTTCTCATGCTCTTTTGCTAAGTATAACAATTGTTTCTTATGAGCTCTCTCTTCCCTCTCTCTTTCTGTTAAGCTATATCAATAAAAGATAATAGTTATATAAATAATTATATTTTACAAATATCATATACATATATATGTAGATTTTTGATAAAATTACACGTCTTCATCAAATAGATATTCGTCATCAAGAATGTCAGCCTCCAACTCTGCAACTTTGTCCTCTTTACGTTTCTCCAGATATTTCCTACGAGACTCAGTTCTTAATTTTGGTATCAGCTTTTCTTTTGTATCAGTCTCCATGATTTTAAGTCTCTTTGCTGCTTCAGCTACAGATAATAACAAGTGATAAATAACTTTTCCATAGATATTTAATATTTATAGATATTTTCTTGGCAACTTACCAGCTCCGGAACCAGCAGGCATCGCAACATTGCGCCTTTTACTTTCATCCTTAGCTCTGAGACGACTAGCAAAGCTATCTCTCTCCTTAATATCTTTCTTGCGACGCTCCTCTTCGCTGTCTGTGTCCTCACTCGAGGATTCTTCTCGCCTATATTTGCTCATTTTGGAAAATATTCGTAAATAGGTTATAATATCCTAACCTCTTTCAGCAACTTTTAGGAAATTAGGAAAATAAATGATGACGAATATCGTATACAATCAAAAATAGATGTATGTATAACTTGCACAGTAAAATTAAGAAATGTTGATTTTTAACACTAACGTTCCTCTCTATTAATGCAACCGGTTAACAGTTAATTGTATCCGTTACGATTTACGTTTACGTTTATTCAATCACGTGCGCGAGTGGCGCCATATCGCGGTGTATCGTATTCTGTATGAAAAGAAGACGATAATCTGTCGATAAAATATCTCTACCCAAATCGCGCAATATCTAGGATTTTAGAATTCAATTATCTTTCCCATATTATCACACTGAAAAAAATGAGATAAATTTTATTTTTATATAATATAAAATGTATAAGATATCTTCTTATTTATAAATATACCGATATTTTTTGTGATATTTTATATTTTTATCAATAATTGATGTTTAGAATGTAATTTTCAGAAAACTCAACAAATCCACATAAATATAAATCGACATTGGAAGAAATAACATCGCAGTCGTTGCTCTTTTTGCTGTCTTCCGCATTGTAGTCACGAACCATAACTGCATGCATAATAATAACATGCTTGCAAATGATATATTTTCACGGTTGATGTGCTTTAGCGACAAAAGGGGAATAGATACCAGAGAAAATACGAACAACAAACGTACGTACATATCGATTTTGAACCCACGACGATGGCGTCAGGTGTCGCAACAACAGATGACGTCGAATGCAAGAGCGTCAGATAAAATTGCTAACGATAAACAAAATTTCAAGGAAACCTCTTTATCAGTTTATTTATATATGTATATTACTTTTGATATTTTATTGTTTCTTCTCTAACTTAATTCTGCGAAATGATAATCGTAATCGTATTTCTACCACCCGGTAGATGCGAACCAACAGTGACATTACATCAATATTACAATTTCCTATTCAACAATATAAGTACATACAATACACATTCTGTACGTAACAGTTATATCGTTGCAGAAAATACAATATAACATTGATATAATATTACTGTTAGGTGATCTGTACTAGGCATCCTTAAAAATAGCAACTGGAACTAATCTCGAATAATAACAGAAATTAATTAATCTTCATTAAAATTCTCCCGTGAATTGTTTCTTCCTTAAAGCAAAAAAAAAGAAGAAAAAAACATAATTTATATTTATAATAACACAAATCATTCGTTTTAATGTCGCAGTAGAATTCAAACGATCGAAGAAATTTACTAATTTGGAGGTCAGACCACATAAGCCTCTTCTTGCGCTAATAATTTAATTTATATTTACAGATAGAGATGATCGATTTTTAAATCTAGTTTCACCTTCAAGAGAATAATAGTCGCGCTCGAAATTTAGACAAGTTGGAAAAAAAATGCGCAAATGTACGAGGGTCGTCTGAAAAGTTTTGAGCTTCAACATAAAGATGGCGTAACTCATCAAAATCATTCTGATATTACAATAGGTCTGTTCTTTTTGAACTAGTTGTACTAATTCACAGTTTATTTCTTTCTTTATTCTCAAGAAGAAGAAAGATAAACTCTGAATTTTAGTGCAGCCAGTTCAGCTAAAAGGAACAGACCCAATCATGTACACATACCTTGAAAAATGTGAAAATTGTAGCCGTTTGGGACGCTCAGTTATTGTTTGACAGTTATTCGTATCGGTCGAGTGTTTTTGTAAAAATGGAAAAAGCCGAATATCGTGCCATGATTAAATTCTTGTATTTGAAAGGCAATACGCCTATACAAATTAAAACTGAGTTAGACGCTGTTTACGGGGACTCTGCTCCATCAATTTCTACCGTGAAAAGATGTATAATTGAATTTAAACGTACCAGCTTGGCTGATGATCTTGGGCATACAAAATCAGTGCCAAAAATCAGTGTTACAGATAACATCGAAAAAATTCAACAAATAATATTCGACGACAGTCGAATCAAAGTTAAAAAAATAGCAGAGGCTGTGGGCATATCGAAAGAATGGATTCGTTTTATAGTGAATAACAGATTAGGCATGCGTAAGATAGCCTCGCGTTGGGTGCCGCGCTTCCTCACTGTGGACCAAAAACGCATTCGAATGAACATTTCCAAGAACCTGTTGGAGCGATTTCAACAAGACAAATTGAATTTTTTGAATCGATTAATAACTGTCGATGAAACTTGGATTTACTTGTTCCCCCCCTGAAACGAAGAAACAAACGAACGAACAATCAAAACAGTGCGCTGCGAAGGGTGAACCTGCTCGGAAAAAGGCGAAGACGGTTTCATCGGCCGGGAAGGTTATAGCGACTATTTTTTGGGATATTCATGGAATTGTGTTGATCGACTTTCTTGAAACGAATAAAACAATAACGGATGTGTACTATGCATCATTAATTGACAAGCTGAAGGCAAGAATTACGAAAAAACGGCCACATTTGAAGGGTAGGAAAGTGCTATTCCATCAAAATAACACACCGGCTCACACTTCGATAGTCGCCATGACAAAAATTCACGAACTGCAGTTCGAATTGATTGACCATCCACCGTATTCATCAGATCTGGCTCCTAGCGACTTTTTCCTGTTTCCTAGCTTCAACACTTGGCTCGACAAACAGAGATTTTCGTCGAATAAAGAGGTCATCACATTCGTAAAATTCTATTTTGCAAGTAAAACCATCAACTATTATTTGAATGGGTTAAAGAGGTGGAAATATCGCTGGCAAGCGTGTATTGACTTACAAGGAGATTACGTTGGCCGCTAAAACTGAATTTGATCGGGGAAAAAAAAAAAAATACCTGTTTCTACGTTCAGGCTCAAAAAACTTTTCGGACGATTTCGTAATATCGGACGAATGACGACGTTCGACGGCTACGGCACTGCCTGTTCGCCGGGCTACCAGTCGCTCCTACGCTCGGCGCCGCGTCAGTACATGCGGTCTTGCCGCGGCGTGCGGGTTGTTTTCTCGCGCGGAGGAAAATTCTTCGTCCAGGCCATTTCTGTTCCGACCGGGCTCTCACTCGCCCTCGTTAAATTCAACGACATTCGCGATTCTTCGCGAGCGACTCCGCGCGAGCTCCAACGCGCTTTCCAACGCGAATTTTCACGTCCCTCCGCACGTCCGTCCGAAAAAACACGTCCCGCTCGACGATCGAAAGGATCGAGGATCATGCCCGCGGACGCCGAACTCAGCAGCCTGCTCAACAGGCGGCAGAGGATCAACGATGAACTTGAGGAGGGCAAGGAGGTGAAGAAGCAGTACAAGTTCGTGAACGTTTACACGGAGTTCCACGAGCTGTCGCGTCGCGAGATCAAGCAGTACGAGCAGACCTTCAACAGGTGAGGTGTCTTCGTTCCTTTTTTTCACTTCTTCTTTTATTTATCATTGAAAGATAATTGTGTGCGAGCGATCCAGCGTGCCCAGCGACGTGCGTTTACATCTCCGCTTTATTGTTTTTGAAATTGAGATTTAAAGGATCAAAGGGATTTCAGATTAAAGTCATTTGTTCCAGCAGATCGTATCTCTTTATTATATTTTGTGCTAACGATGTTAGCGTTGTTAATATATTAACAGACGCACACGAGAGAGAATTTTAAATTAAATATTAATTAAAGATATTTAATTAATATTTAGTAATAGACTTGTGCCTATACATATTTTACATATTATTATAAAATGTTTTAATAGAAATTTAGGTTTCTTTTTTTTTTCTTTTTCTCTTCCTTTTTCTTTCTCGCCATCTTGTCTATAAAAATGAAATTTAAATATTTTTCCCTGACGTAAAAGACAGTCGCCCATTTAATGTTTTAAACATACCTGTGACTGTTAAGTTCGAGCTATATATAGCATTATCAACTTAATAGACGTATTCTGCCTTAGCTGTTTAG